ACCCCATCTGTACAGCACTTGCCCCAGCCCCAGCCCCAGCCCCAATCCCTCCCTCACCAAGGGGGGGGGCTCAATCTGCCTCCTCCCACATCCCTTCCAGCCCCCCACACCCCTTCCCCCAACAGACTTACCAGCCAGATGCTGCTTTCCAAGCTGCCAGGCTGAATATTGACAATTGGATCGGTATCAGCCAATATGGCTGGTTAATAATTGGCCATATATATCAGCCCAGAAATATCTTTATTGGTACACCCCTACTGCTTCCCCTCAAAATGGCACTGCTGCCACCAAGGTGTGGTAGTCAGGACACTCCTGGATTTCTCTAGAGAAATTACCATATTTACTCATATCCAAAACAAGGGTTGCATGCATGCGTGTTTAGCCCTTTTAGTTGAATTTGGGTACAGAAGAGAGTGCAAGCAACTGCTGCAGTTCCAAATCCAGCCCCACCCCAGGTGCAGGCTCAGAGTTGGACTTGCAGCTGCTGGATTTGCCATTCTTACCCCCACTGCAGACACTTGACTTCCACACTGCTTGCCCTGCCGGCTCCCATGCTGCAGTGGTGGGCAGAACAAATTTAAGATTACTCTTCAATAATTACACTAGGAAAAATAAATGTATACATCTTCCATGTATAGAATCCATGTACTGGGGGGTTATCTTGGATTTAGATAAATACAGTAACACTTGATATCACTTTTCACACACTCTATGTACTATCATGTTATCTTCTAAGAGTTTGCAAGTCTGAGCACATACATTGAGACAGGAGGAGGCACACTAAGAAAAATATTAAAATGCCTTGATTTTAAGAGAAAGTGGCTTGTCTGTGAATACTTTGCTATCTAAAGGACAGAAGCAGCATTGTTAGGTGCATCATAGACTTTAGTGGGTAGAGACATGACAACACAGAGATTCGCTTTTAGTTTAACTGGTCAAGGCTTGTGTACTTGGAATAGAGTGATATTAGTTTTGTCCCAGAGTTCAGAATGACTGGTACTCTGCAGCATGATAATCTAAAGTCACTATGTCACTATGTATTATGAAGAATGGCCCTGAAGCATCCTTACGTTCACCACATTAAAGTGTAAGGGTGCTAAGCAGAACACCCTCAAACCAATCCTTAAATATTATTAAATGGATCAAGTTTTACAGAATTAACAGCATCTAGATTGAGCTACCACTTCTGTCTCTAATAAGTGGAACTGAGGTAACAAATTGCACTAAATACTAAGGGATAGATTAAACATATTGGGTGCATCTACATATGCTCGTTAACGTGAAGTAGACTATTTTACTGCATATTAAAGTGTCACGTAAAAAAATGTAACATTACACTAACGCACAGTAAAAGTCTACTGCGCATTAAGCATCGGTAAAAAAAAAAAAAAAATGCATGCAAATGCACCACTGAGCATTAGCACAGCCTAATGTGCATCAATTTAGTACCTCACAGAGGTACTAAATTGAATGCACACTAGAAGAGGCACATTAACGCACGTGTAGATGTGCCCACTAAGTAACATAATGGAGTTGGGCCTATCAGTATAATCCTATTGCACCCTCTCTCAAGTTTGAGAACAACTATTATTACAAGCATGAACGACGCACACCCCCAGCGGCTGTGGCAGCAGGAGTGCGGCAGCAGCAAGCAGGAGAGCTCCTGCAGATGCCACTGGCACTGTTGGCAGCAGGGGGGTAGTGGTGGCAAGCGCTGTTGCCAGCAACATCAGTGGCGTCCAGCAGGGATTGTGGACCACCCACAGATGCCGCTGGCGGTGTCGGCGGCACAGTGGCGAGTGGTGGCTGCCTGTAGGCACCACTGCCGCCAGGGACACCTGTTTGTAAAAGGTGCACCGCCACGCTCAAGGCGTTCACCCCCTACACGTCACCCCTGATTACAAGTTGAGTAGGTCTTTCTCCTCCTCAGTGCTTCATCCAACTTAGTCCTAAAATAAAGATGATTACAATAAAGATGATGACTTGAGTAAATTGGTATAGGAGTGTACTTAAGCATCTAATAGGTGGAATTGAATGTCTCTGCTCCAGCATGTCCTCAATAGACTGAGAGTCACTCTTACACATTTTTTAAAGTATTATTTACTATTTATTGCTCTTTACTGATCACAAAGACTTTTCTACAGATAAAAATCCTAAATTGTTTGAAATGCAACTAAATCAACATTTCAGTTTTTCAAATTTTCAGAGATGCCCCACAAGCCATTAGTAGGAAGATTAATTTGTATCGATAGCTGAACTGCGATGATAGCTAACTCTGGTAAGTCACTGACTTCACCAGGAGCTAGAAGTATTGCCATCCCTTACTATTGTTACTAGTAAGGTGCTACTTACCTTTAAGCGTCTTGTTTTTATAGAAGTGGCTGAGCATGTTTTTGTTGACTCCTCCTAGGATTAAAGTTTGGGATCCATTTGAACATGGGCACAAGGCTATTTCAGGTTATGAAAGCCTTCATCTCACTGTGAACAGCAAACTGCATGTGTTGGAACGAGGTGCAAAAGCAGTTCTGCTTGCAGGTATGTGAAACTTGCATTAGCTTCCTGTTACACTCTGCCCAATACTACCCTCCCCATCCTTCCCCAAAAAACTACAACTGGGACTGAGTGATAAATATGAAAACCAGATACACACGCTACCTACTTTTAACTGCACTCTTTGTATTAAATTGGAGGTAATAAAGCTGAGAATGTGTACAGCAAAAGGGGAGTGCAGCAATTTAAATATGCAATTATTGTCCTTGAGCTTTGGTATAAATGAAATACTAATTTTAAAGTGAACTTGGCATGAATTCCATGCAATGCCTTAGCTTACTCCTGACAGTTTTATTGGTAATTTTTATATGGTAAAATGTGTTTTTTAAGCAGTAGTGGGCAACGCTTTCTCACGTACATGTCGATGTAATCTAAATTTGCTTCACCTACTGACCACTCTGTAAGGGTTCACTTTTATACAATGGAGGATGTACAATTCAATAGGGAAAAACAGAAAATTATGCTAGTGTCTCGCCACAAAAAAGAAAGCATGCTCCAAGACCCTGTTTTTATCATCTACATTCAGGCAGAAAGAAAAGGCATATCAAAAATCAGAAAAGGGAATATGACAAGAAGGGTAAGGAAACTAACAGCACCAGAATATCCACATATTCAACAAGGAGTTAGAGATCTGGGTATTCTTTGCTTAGTTCTGGTCTAATTTATTCTACACTTTTACTTTCAAGAAAGAAAGAAAGAAAGAAAAGTCTTCTCTGTTCATCTCCATCTGATTGATCATTAAAGAGAAGAGAGCCAGACCCTAAAGCTAGCATACGGTTTCAATTGCCGATTTTAAAAGCTTATACTACAAGGGGCAAGAAATGAGATGGGCTCTTATCAGGCACTCATCCTTCTGTGATGCAATATATGACACTAGAGAAAGCTGGGCTGGGCTCTCCTTCTCGGAAAAACAGCTGCATTCTGTTGCCAGCTAGTCCGATAGCTCAAGTAGTGCCAGTCTGTGCTGCAGGGTCAGGCTTAAATACACAAGGAGGTTATAACTTACCTTATCTAAATGATGTTCTTCCAATAAAATGGAAGGGGTAATTACTTAGAATCCAGATTTTATTTGAAAAACTCGGCTGAAATATCACTTAGCGGGTCTCTGTTTTATTTTGAATTCTAGTTGCTCTTTGAAGTTGTCCTGTCCTCTTCCTGTAAATTGCCTTGGACGTTTCTTTGGGAAGGACAATATATAAATTGCATAAATAACTAAATATACTATTAAAAGACCTTTTAATTCTCTTGCAATTTCAATTTAGCCAGTAAGTGTTAATCCCTTATTTCAGGGGGATATAATGTTGAAGAGATACAAGTAATTTAAATTTATTCTTTGTAGGGTCTGTCTTATTTGGGAAGTAATGCTTCAGCTACTACTGATGCATTAGGAATAAAACAGAACAAATAGTTTATCCGTTTGCAGCAATGTGTGCCTCAAAAAAAACCTCTAAGCCCCATCCCCCCCAAGAAAAACCAAACCCAACCAACAAACCTTTATAACACTATTTAAAAATTACCATTCCTATGAAGGGAGAGATGGGATACATAAATAATTTTGTCAAACCAGAAGTTTTGGGGAGGGTCTATTCCAGTAGTGTACTTTGATAAAAGAGCTCAAAGACTTTTGTTAATTTTAATCTGAAAATAGGATGTTCTGATCACTGCAGTTAATGAAAAATGCAACCCCTTACAAAGCCAACCTGGTTTCTGGCCAAAGCTAGTGGAATTGTTTTAATAGAATGGTTCTAGTGAAAACTTGAGTCTTTCAAGAGTCCTGTCACAATAATAAAAGCTGCTGGTCATGAAAGGAACAGTATTTTCCATCTTTTTCCAAAAAACAAATGCTGCTTTCAGAGTAATTATGTTATTTATTTATTTATTTAGGTGAGGTAAGCCTATGGGACTTGCACAGTTGCACAGTAATGTCAGTCTTTACACCTGACAGCAAAATCTCCTGCCTAACAGTAGCATTGGACAGAAAAACTATTCTTCTGGGGGTGAGCGACAGCCCTGCTCTTATCACTCTGAAGACATCCAGTTCTAAAGCACCTGTAAGTTCTACTGAAAGAGACTTATTTGGAGAAGAATCTACTAGCAGTGAAGAAGAACCTGAAGAAAACTAGAAGTTCAAACAAAAAACTTAGAAGCATGCACTCTTAAGGACTGGATCCACAACAGGGACTTAAGTTGGAGTGTTGCAGGATTTAGGTTCCCTAAAAGATAAGTGGGGAGCTGCTAGGAAATGCTGAGGAGAGAATGAACCTGAAGTCCTGCATTTCACAAGGACTTAAGCACACCCCTGCAGTTTGGAGATGAATGCCATGCTCTAACTGGAATTCACAACTGAACCTTCTCCTGGAATGAGATGCCGCATCCAGGAGGTGCCTCATGCACAGGAGTTAGTCTAGTAGTTTACCAGATAGATGATGCTCAGGCTTCCAGAATCAAGGTTGAATGAGTGGCACACTGTCAGTCCATGGGCCAAATCTAGTGTGGCTGGTCTGCAGGGGTGATGTGGCATGGGGCCATATCATCCAACTCATAGGGCTCCCCCTGGATCTGGGAACCTGTTGGAGAAGTGATGGTCACAGCTTCTACAGCCACTGTTCTCTCACTGCCAAATTTCCAGATCCATGGGGAACCTTGTAGGCCAGAGATTGAGCACTACTGGGTTAGTTCATTCAGCCAGAATGTGGCAGACCTGGATTATATTGTCTGCCTGGAAACAACCCCCCCCCCACAAAAACACCTCAACTCAAGTCTTGGAAGGCAGCCAAAAGCACCAGGCTAGACCATCCTGAGCTGGGATTCTCAGTCATAGTCAAAGCTACTGTATTTACTCAAATCTAAGATGACACCCAATAATTAGATGCTATGCAAGGAAAATTTATCATAGAATCATAGAGAAGTAGGGCTGGAAGGGACCTCCAAAGGTCCCTAGATCCTGAAGCAGGATCATCCCTACCCCAACCATCCCATACAAACCATAATCTAAACTCTACATAACACTGCCATCAACCCTGACACAATACAGACCTAATACCCTAACTTGCCATAGATAAAGCAGAACCACAGTAGCCAATGCCCTGCGTCTATGAAATGTTGCCAGTATATGCTCAAGAGAGCCCAGGCAGAGGGCCACACCCCCTGCTACAGAGGAAGGCAAAAACCCCACAGTCCATACCAATCTGACCATGAGGTAAAATTCCCTCCTGACCCCAGATATGGTGATCAGTCTGCCCTTGAGCAGAGGGGAAGACCCTCTAGCCAGGAATCTCTGGTTTTGGTCCCAGCAGGAACATAGGCACACCCCAGTCAAAGTTCCCAGCCTTGGCTGTAACCAACACTCAAAGCCTCTGAAGGGAGCTTAAAAATATCCTGACCCATGTAACAGAAAGGGGCAGTGGGGGGAACCAGCAAAGCCCAGAAGCTTGGAGAATACTCACCCATATCATGGGAAATAACCACCCATAGTAGAACATAGGCATAGCCATGCTTAAATCATCCCCAACTAGTGGCTGTCCAACCTCTTCTTGAACACCCTGTGATGGAGAGTCCACAGCTTCCTTAGGCAGTCTGTTCCACTGCCTCACTATTCTAACAGTTTTCTAGATACCCAATCTAAGCTTATTTTGTTGCAACTTCAAGCCATTCATCCACATCAGTGTCAGAACCCTAAATATTACTGTTCTGACTATATGGT